GGGCAGCTAAAATGCTTAAGGGGGTGGAACACCTTCCCTATGAAGAAAGGTTAAAGAGGTTAGGGCTCTTTAGCCTGGAGAAATGACAACTGAGGGGTGACATGATAGAGATTTATAAAATTATGCATGGGACCGAAAAGACAGAGAAAGAAGTACTTTTCTCCCTTTCCCACAATACAAGAACTCGTGGGCACTCAATGAAATTAATGAGCTGTAGGCTTAGAACAGATAAAATAAAGTACTTCACCCAAAGAGTAATTAACACATGGAATTTACTGCTGCAGGAAGTGGTGGCAGCTACATGCATAGACAGCTTCAAAAGGGGACTGGATAAACATATGGAGTGGAGTTCCATGAATGGCTAGTTAGCCACAAAGTACAGATGGAACAGTACATCTGGGACAGTGATGCTCTGTATTCTTGGTGCTTGGGGGGAAGGTAACAGTGGGAGGGCTTCTGGAGTTCTGTCCCCACTGGTGGACCTCCTGATGGCACCTGGGATTTGGCCACTGTGTGACATAGAATGTTGGATTGGATGGACCACTGGCCTAATCCAATATGGCTTCTCTTATGTTCTTAAGGATATGATTGATCATTGTTATTTACTGACATATTTGTAAAGATCTATTCTCTGATGGTAGTCAGCTTGTTTGATATTTTAATTTTATAGACATTTCATTTTAAACTTCTGATGTTTTATAAACCAGCTTGAGCTTTGAAGAGGCAAGGTATACATTTTAAATAACAAATATAAAATAAACTACATTGGTTATATTTGTAGAGGGCTAAAATGAGGGAGGGAGGGAGGGAGGGAGGGAAGGAGGAAAGTTGAGGAAATTCCTTGAGAACAAAGCACTTAGTATTTAGAAATAATACCAGTGCCATGATCAGAAGAGAAGTGAGTGGGATGGCCCTCCTCCTACCCCTCAAAGTGTGTGCAAAAAGGCAAAAATCTCTCTTAGGGGAGGGGATTTGAGCACCAACTTCAAGGCTAGAGCTCTTCGGAGCTGCTTCTGAACAGGTGTAGAATCCATATGTGGGAGTGTACAGAGCATAAAAAGCCATATATTTATAATATATTCCACTACCTGTAAACTATACTAAAACACTGAAAGAAGAGGGAACATGCACTTTCAAGCTTAACATGAATAATGTGAATATATACTATAATAATTAAATGGAAATGTAACTGATGAAATAATATGCATTGACATACGTCAAAAGTGTTGAACTTTTTCCCATTAATAACCATAGCAATAAAAACAAAATACATAAAGAAAATACAACATTGATTACATCACAAAGACAAATTAGATACATATCTGGTAAAGAACCACCAACGTTTTACCAGTGGGGGGTCCAGTAAAGAAAGAGAAGCATGAAGTCTTTCATAGTTTGAGGGGACCAAGACAAGGAGATTTGAAGGCAGAGGCAGGACAAAGGAAACAACCAGTAATAAATCATTCAGACATATATACTGTGCTATTTTCCTTTGCCATCTAGTGTAAAGAAGTAGTTCCATATCATACCGCCAGTTTTAAGGCCTACAATAAGGTTCACATGAACTTCTTATAGTAAGAACAAGAATCTAAAATAAGAGTTATTTAAACAAGCATTATATAAACTAATTCTATCTTAAAGATAGCCCTCAACTTAGAATGCCAGTTCTTTGAAAAAATGGTATAATATATTCTTTTCCAGAACTTCAGTTTAAGAATGAAAGTTGTACAATTAGCTGTTTTCTTGATTGTTCAACTTCATATTAGATATTAAAATTTCCCTTATACTAGATATTACCGATATCACCGGTGCTCATAAATTATTACTTATGTTGTACAACTTTGCTGCTCTCTTTCCTTTTAAATTCCCATTGATGCCTAAGTATCAGGACTATCTAATGCCATTGGATTTTTAGGAATTAATCTGGAACATACCACAGAACAAAAACATTACTAGACAAGAAAATAAAAGATTCCTCTATGAGTGGACTTTGCCATGAGTGGACTTTACCATGGGTGAATATGCACATCCATTCCACTTCCTTCTTCAGGGGGATTCTCACCCATGTACGAACTCCATATGTGTATAGGAGTTCCTGTACTCACAGGAAAGCATTGCTTAAAAGTTCTTTGTTATGCAGGTAGCTATTCTATTTGGATATTGCCGCTGCTTAATAAAGAAGATAACAATTCCACTTCTCTTACCATTATTAATCTCTTTCAGGGATTTTATATGATCAGATTTGAAAATCCAGGAAAAGTAAAGCATGTTGAAGTCTCATTAGTTTTAATGGTATAGGTTTAAACAAATGCTTAATTCTCTTATTGAAATCAATGGTCCCTTTGGCTGGACCATGCCCCAATATTGCATTTGGTGTTTGCTGCATTCCATGCTGCTGAAACTTGATTTCACAACGTGCATTTAACAAGAAGTAGCCATGGAACAGTAACAGCGAACAATCCGCTTGTAGAGCTGTTACCCTGTCAAATTCCTTTAAAATCTGAGAATTCAGATTTGAGAATTCACACCTAGAAGAATTAATTTGTGTCTAGATACATTTTATATCTACTGAAGAACTGGAAGAGTTTAATCCTTGACAATTATAACTCAGTGAAGCATGTTAGCATCAACTTCTTTGTGAAGGCAGCCTTATCAACTTCATTATGTGCTAAATTCTGTTTCCTTTCATAGTATATAAAGGTAGCTCTTGTCAGTCAGTATCTCCTTTCCTTTTCTACCCTTGGCTCCCACCCTCCAGCTCTGGATCCTCCACTGATTTCCTATGATTGCACAAACCAATGCAGCCATAAAGCCACATTAAATACACAACAAAAATGCTACAGGAGGACTACAGCACATGGTGGATTTTAATATAATATGCACACATTGTTAACATCCAACCATCACAAATACTTGGCCCACTAAAAAAATTAAAAATCACCAAAGGAAGCAGAAAAAGAAAATAAAAATTAAAAAGCTTGCTGCTCTTACATCTAGTGTGCCAGTTACTGTGCAAATCCTGAGGAGGGGAGGAAAAACAAAGATATGGGGATAGTTGGCATACAAACAGAAAGTTTGGAAAATACAACCATAATAAAATAAGAGCCCGCTCTTTTAAATTCCATGAACAAAAACAAACTACAGAGAGTGTTCAGGAGCTGTACAGTGCTGACACAGAGCTAACAACAGGGAAAGGAAAGGCAATTTGTATGCAATAATTACCACGCTCATGACTGATGACTGAGGAAGGGAAAGACAGGACATTTATTTTTAAAAAAAGAAAATGGGGAAAAAGAAAAACGTGAGAATTTGTTTTCAGCAGATTAAAAACATACACAGCATTGCTTCTGGCAATTTAACTCTGTATGAAACCAAATATCAGATCAGCCAAACCAAAAAAAGAAATCCTTCAATAAGAAAGCACACAAGTATCCTGACATCAGAAAAGTCATTTGTGTTAGTTACACATGCATGCCTGTTTTTCTGTTTTAAGTAACATATGAGGTAGGTTAAAAGAAAAGTCTATTTGATGAAAAGAAAACACAAGAGGTAATGTATTGTGAATAATTAAAAATACGTGAGTTAACAGAAATTATGTCCCCAACGTTCAAGGATTCTGGAGCATAATTTTTAGTGATCAAGCAAATCTGTGCTGTCCAAGACCAACATTTATGCATTTGCACCAACTTTAATGTGACTATTTAGACTTTTTTTAAAAAAAATCACATTAAAAATTGGGCATATTTGAGAAGAGGAAAGAATTTCTGAGAAGGATCTCTAAAGTGTTTTAAAAGTTTATAGTCAAGTCAATCTTCTTGGCTGTTAACTTGATGAAAACACTTGAATTACTGAGTATAGACATAATGGCTGAAGGAAACTAAACACTGATACATGCACTACCAACAATATGAACTACAAAATTCCGAACTAGAATAGTAAATAAATAGTCAAGGCTTTCCCTCTTAGAACAAAAATTGGGAAGGATTAAGTTAAGTAAACTGTGAAGCAATTACCACTCAAAATGCAAAGGAAGAATAGCAGCTTGGTATCAAAACTAATCGGATATAAAATAATATATTAAATAAATATAAAATAATCCAGTTATTTCAGACAGAAAAAATAATATTACAGTACCAACAAAATGACAGCAAACAAAAAGTAGAAGAGGGCAGAGGAGACAAAAGTGGTTCGAAACTAGAATTTCTGATACTGGCCTTCTTTAATTAAAGGAATTTGAGGGGGGGGGAGCTCTGAAGCATTTTCATAGTAAAATTATTCCCTAAACAAACCATCTTTTTCTGAAATATTTCAGTTATAGTTTACCAAATTTATTCAGACAGTGTAAGACATCAGTTGGGAGCCACTGGTTTTCTTTTATGCTCCATTTGGAAGAAGATTTCTACATGGTTTGGTATGGAAAAAAAACCTTAGTTCAATAATTGGAAACTATTTACAAATTTAAACATCTCATGGGCGGCAATCTAGTTTCACCAAATGACCAAAGAGGAGGAAGAAATGACTTATGGGTAGCAGCATGATCAAGATTGGCCTTGCTTAGTGTAGAAATGACTGTACCACCACTCCCATTGTTCTTTCCTCCCCCAAACAAAACATAAGGAGGTGCTTTCTGCTGACAGCTAGGAAATGGACTTCCTAAAGCAGCCACCCTTCTATGAAATGTGGTATGTAATTTATAAGTAACTGAACTTATTCAGGAAGTGTAAGAGATCAGTTAGGAACAGCTTTCTTTTATTCTGAGGCTGGGAAGAGATTGCCAAATCCCATTGCTTGGGGAAAAAAATCTGCTTGCAAATTTCCTCACACAAGTGTTTGCTTATCAAAAATCAATTAACCACCCAGGAATACATTATCTTAAATTATTAAAAGAAACACCATCCATTTGCAATAGCCATTCAATTAACATATTTGCATATCTTACTTCCGTTTGGTAGTTTAAAGGCAAAGGTTATAGGCAGTCTTTTTCATTAAGATGATAATACCTGATCCTTCTTCTGTCACCATGCCAAGGCCTTCTGCTTTGTTCTGGCGTTCAAAAGCATTTAGATCAAGAACACTAGAATACAAAAGACAACATTCTATTTAGTAAATCAGTAGTCCAGAGGCTCCTTAAAGACTTAAATTCATCCCAACGGAAACTTTCAAGTTTCAGAGCTTACAGCATCAGAGGCATGATGTGTCATTATTCAGATATATTTCTACTAAAAGCCGCAAACAACAGAAAGGGTGGAAAATATCAAGAACACTAGAATACAAAAGACAACACCCTATTTAGTAAATCAGTTATAGGCAGAGGCTCCTTAAAGACTTAAATTAATCCCAACAGAAACTTTCGTTTCAGAGCTTACAGCATCAGAGGCATGGTGTGTCATTATTCAGATATGTTTCTACTAAAAGCTGCAAACAACAGAAAGGGTGGAAAATACAGAAATATATAATGACTCAACTGCCCAGTAGGATTTGAATAAGACAAATGCTTCTCTGCTTAGAAGGATGTATATGTAGGTTAACAATGATGAAGAAAAATATTTCTTAATTTATATTAGAGTGGGATGTGTTGTTTTTTTTTACCTTGGGATGCCTCTAGTACACTGGAATGTGATGGGCACCAAAAAAAAGAAAACTTCAGTCTTCCTACTATACCTTGTAAAGGCTCTTTAACTGTTTAGATGTATATGGGGTAAAGGCTGGTTTCAGCCAGCCATCCCTCTCCAATTTTAGCAAGGAAAGTAGTATGAGTAGCATCAAATCATGATTCGTGCATCCAAAAATGGGGCGGGTTTTTGATGTGACTGCTGCTTTGCTTGCAGACTCATAGAGAAGTTGCCATAGAGATATGTTGCTCAGAATTCAGCCATAGGTCTTTGTAAAGAAATGCATTTTTCACTTTGAGTTTTGTTTTTCTCTCTCTTAGCAGAGAACAGGCAGGAGGTGGGAAGTCAAATTGCTTTCCAGACTCACTTCAGCCACCTTTTTAGAAATGCTAATAGGTCTAGCTAGAGACAATGGGATGCTCCAGCTCCCCCCAACTCGAAAGGTGATATCCAGAAAGAACAGAAATTTGGAGGAATTAAGTGATAGAAAGACTTCAGAAAGTATCTCCTGGAGACTTCAGTAAAAGCTTCTTTGACCTGGTCTGACCTGGTCAGTAGGAGGAGAAAGAGAGATGATAAAACTCCTGGGAGCAAGGAGGAGGGGTCTGAAAAGTACTGGGTTTGCCACATGGAGGACTCGGACAACAACATGCGATTGCACACGTTTATTGTACTTAACACTGAACTGCAAAACAGCCCTGCAAGGCCAACTATATACACACCCACAGTCCCATTGGAGGGTTTGAATATCCCACCGAAGTTCCTATTGGCTCATGCTGGGGGAACTAGGATCCTAAGTTCCTATTGTCTGGAGGAACTAAGCTCTTGCCTGTAGCCGCGGACCCCTGATGGCAGTCCACGTACATAACAGGCTCTTTGGTGCTGATTACATCAAAACCGGCAGAATTCTTAGCTGTGGTCCGTGAGAGGCAGCCATTGCCATGTGCTGGCCTGCACACCTGAAAGGGCTTTACGGTAAGGGAAACCCTGTAGAACATCTTTAATTTTCTACGCAAAGGAGCCTGCCTTATATTTAACATCTGCTAGTGCATGTATAGAGGGAGGGACAGAGGGATTGCATTTACCCTTTTCTTTTGAATCCCTTGCTCAATCTGGTGCTGTGCTGAGAGTACACTTGTGAACATTTTCTTTTTAATAAATGCTTTATAACTTTTGGCGCTGATAGTGGTTCTCTGCACTACATAAACCTCCACTGTTTTGGACATGCAATTTTAAAAGGGGAGCCAGGAGGAAGAGGAGGGGCAACCAGTTGGCAAGTGGCTATTCCTCCAGTGCTGCACAAGGCAGTAACCTGTCCCTGTCATAACCAGATCCTGCTTAGCAGGAGAAACAGAGGCAAGGCCTCAAAACTTGGAAGGGAAGCTGGGAGTCCTGGCCCTCCAAGTGGGCAATTCCAACAAAGGCCAGGTGGTAGTGGCTATTGATCAGAGACAGAGAGAAGCCCCTCCAGGTGTTGGGAAAGCCTTGGAGGGCACAATGAAGTAGGGCCTGCATGTCAGAGCAGGATTCTTCTGCCAAGGTCTACAATAGCAGACACAGCTTGTGGATCTAAGATGACATTACTTGGTCATTAATTTGATGCTATTTTTGATTCTTCAGAATCAGAAAAGGCAATACATTTCTCTGGCCAGAAGTAGGCTGACAAAGCCAATTTTCTTTGAACCACTAACAGAGCCAAGGTATGGGCATAGGCTCCACTGACAGAGGGAGAGATGCTGGTGGCCAGGATACAAATGCTGATGACAAAGCTCTTAGAATCAATGGCACTGATTGTGATGCATCTCCTTGATGTCTCGCGTAGGATCTACCTGATGTCTATGGTACTGAGAGGGATAAGAATCTAAACCATAATGATAAAGTCTTTGTGAGCCAAAGCACCCTATTTTTAGGGTTAACATGAATAATAGTGGGTCTGCTTCAGCTTGCAGGTGTTTCTAATTGGCCTTTCTCATAGATACTATCTGTATCTCTTTCAAGGCCTGATACAGGTTCTCCAAGTAAGCAGAGCCTTCTGCCATCCCCTCAGATGCCAATAGGGCAGAGAGCTGCATGAAGTTAGGAAGAGTGATTCCATCATGCCTGTTTTGTAAATTTTAAGTACACAGAAAAGATTCTGGGGGGGGAACTCTTCAAGTTACCTTATGTGCTATAGGAGCTCGAGGAGCAAAGATGATGACCAAATCATACATACTGGAAACAAGTTACAGATAGAAAAAGTGGAAAGAGTTTGTATCTGCCACAGATAAACGTGTTTGTTTTGATGTCTGAATACAGTTTAGAATATATTGGTGGTGGTGGAAAGTGCCATCGAGTTGCAGCCGACTTTTGGTGACCATGTCGGGTTCTCAAGGCAAAAGATGTTCAGTGATGGTTTGCCATTTATGACCCTGGACTTCCTTGGCGGTTTCCCATCCAAACACTAATCGGAGCCGGCTCTGCTTAGCTTCCAAGATCTGACAAGACCGGGCTATCCAGGTCAGGGCAAATGTATTTGTAATTCCATATTACAACTCCTATATATCGAATTCAGCATACCGCAGTGCTCTTTGGGGTGCTACAGATGAATGAGTGGTACTCTGAAATACATTCAGTAGAATACAAATCAGCATGCAAAATACCAGGCTTATGTTCTTACCTACAAGACTGCATGAGGCCGGCAAGACTCTGAAAGAAGCCTACATCCTTTTTGTCTTTGAGGTAGTCAAGCATTTTCTACAAAAGACAAATGTACGTATTTATTTGCTTGTTTATTTAAATCATATCTATCTCGCATGTTTAGACAGATACAGTTCAAGGCAGACAATAAATAAGTACAGCAATTAAAAGGAATTAAAATATCCAAAACATTTTAAAATTCCCAATTCTAAAAAGAAATATTTAGTTATTAAAATAGCAGCATTGTTTAAGGTGACTTAAAACAACAGCAGCAGAATAAACTTATTTAAAAGCCTAATAAACAGTATAGATGCTTTGGAAGCTCCAGGCAGTCCATAATCCAGCTGCTAGATTGTTGACTGGGTCCTCCAGGTCTGCACATATAACATCAATACTTCAGCAGCTGCACTGGCTTCTAATCAGCTTCCAGTGCAAACTCAAAGTGCTGGTTTTGAGCTATGAAGTCCTAAATGGTCTGGGACCATCTACCCAATTTAACCCTTTGCCTCCTTAAGGTAAAGGTAAAGGTTCCCTTGCTCGAAAGCCAGTCGAATCCGACTCTAGGGTTGTGGTGCTCATCTCCGTTTCAAAGCCAAAGAGCCAGCGCTGTCCGAAGACGTTTCCGTGGTCATGTGGCCGGCATGACTAAACACCAAGGCGCACGGAACACTGTTACTTTCGCACTGAAGTGGTATCTATTTATCTACTTGCAATTTCTTGCTTTCGAACTGCTAGGTTGGCAGGAGCTGGAACTAGAGACGAGAGCTCACTCCGTCATGCGGCACACCTTGGGTCTCGAACTGCTGAACTACTGACCTTCCACAGCCTGCAGTTCAGCATCTTAACCAACCCTTTGCCTCCTTAGATCACCGTTAATGGATTGCTACAAGTGCCTGGCCTGCAAATTACCACCAGGGCGAGGGCATTTTCAGTGGTAGCCCCTTTCCTCTGGAATCAGCCCCCCAGTGAAGTTTGTGCCCTGCAGGATCTTTCAACATTCTGTAGGGCATATAAAGCTGCTTTCTTTCATGGAGCCTTTGGATAATGTTATGACCCAGGGAAATGACCAGTTGTTTTAACTCTCCAAGCAACTTGTTATTTTATTATTTTAACTGATTTTATTATTTATTTATTTCTGTTTTGCATTTATATCCCACCTGTCCTGTAAACGGGATCGCCAGGAGATGTTGACTCTGAGAGTATAATGCTCTTTGAGGCATATATGGGAAGCGGTATGTTGGACCCAGGCCGCTTGCTTTAAAGGTGATTACTAGCACCTTGAAGCGGATCCGGTACTCAGCCGGCAACCAATGCAGCTGAATGTGAGCCCGCACAGGTGTCAACGTCAGTAGGCGTGCCACCGTATTTTGTACCAGCCGTAATTTCCGGATCAGCTTCAGGGGTAAGCCTGTGTAGAGCGAGTTGCGGTAATCAAGCCTAGAAGTGACCATTGCATGGATCACTGTAGCTAAGTCCCGGTGGGGGAGATAGGGCTTTAGTAGCCTGTTCTGCCTAAGATGGAAGAGTGCAGATCTGACAAATGCAGCAACATGGGCCTCCATAGATAAGGAGGTATCCAGCATTATTCACTCTTCACTGGCTCTTCACTGACTGGGCCAGCACCAAAGGTGCCCCTTCCATTTATTGTTTTTATTTGTATTTTTTGTATTTCTAAATGTTGTAAGCAACCCTGAGTCCCTTTGTGGGGAGAGGGTGCAGGGTATAAATTTAAAAAATAAATAAATATAACAGTATATTAACAAATAACAAATAGTTTGGATCCAGCACAGTTTTTCCATGAGTGGAAGAATTTCCACCTGAGGAGTACAACTTTGTTATCTCTCCCATCACACTACATCCTCAGCCCCCACATGCTGTTCCTGAAGGTACTCCATACCCAAAAGCAGCATTTCAGGGGGCATTCTTGGGTGCGGCAGGAAGGGGAACTGAAAAAGTCATGCTCCACGGGCATAAATTTCGAGACAACTTCCAACAGTTTCATGTAGATATTAAACAGCATGGGAGGCAGGCAGTGCTCCCTCTAAGCTGAGTTAGTGTGAGCTAGCTCACAGTTTTTTAGCCCCTGGCTCACACATTTTTGTCTTAGCTCAGGAAGGATGGCTCGAGAGCAAACTAATTTATGCAGTAGCCAAATCGCTCGCTCACAACTTTAATGCCAGTAGCTCACAAAGTTGAATTTTTGCTCACAAGACTCCACAGCTTAAAGGGAGCATTGGAGGCAGGATAAAACCCTGCAAGACCTATGACACAAGTATCATGAAGCCAATCAGTTGCCTCCTAGCACCACTGTCTGGCACTGGTCAGCAATACAGGAACAGAACCACTGGAGTTTGGTGCCTCAACAATGATCTCATTAACTGATCCTAAAGGTACCATGCTGGATTGTATCAAAAGTTCTTGAGAAGTCCAGAAGAATCAACAGGGCTGCTCTCTCATTCTCTCTCTCTTAATTATCTGTCAGGACAATCAAGCTTATTTCTTTTCTAAAACTAGTCCTGTAGCTGAACTGAAATCAGTCTCAATAAACGTTTCATACAAGAAAGCCTGGAGTTGCTCAGCCATCATTCACTGAGCATGTTGCCACAAAAGGGATTATAGTTGAGGACAATGTTCCCTCTAAGCTGTGGAGTCTTGTACAGGGCTGCTCTCTCATTCTCTCTCTCTCTTAAATATCTGTCAGGACAATGAAACTTATTTCTTTTCCAAAAGTAGTCCTGTAGCTGAATTGAAATCAGTCTCAATAAATGTTTCATACAAGAAAGCCTGGAGTTGCTCAGCCATCATTCACTGAGCATCTCAGCTTAGAGGGAACACTGGTTGAGGATATTGTTAGGATCTGAAGAAGGCTTTTTCAGAAAGGATTTCATGACTGCTTCCTTCAAAGCAGCTGGCACAACTCCCACCTTTAACAAAATATTTGCTAGTTTTCTGAAACCAATAAAGAAATCCCTTTGGCTAGATGTAACCATCCAAAAAGGGCTTTGGTCAAGCACTGATGCTACAGGCTAGACTCCACTAAGCAGTATATCCTTATCCTTGGGCCTCAGTAACTGAATGTCCTCCAAGCAAAAGGAACTAAACAGTGCACTGATAATATTCTGAGTCTTAGCTGCTAATCCAGCAGAGTCCAGACAGTTCCATATGTGAGAAATGTTATCTTCAAAATGTGTCAGAAACATGTCATAGTAGACTTCCACATTTACATCATTTGGGGCAAGATGAATAATCTCCCTTGCCAATGACTAATTTTGCATAGATGCAATGATGGTGGTGAACTGATCCTACGTCTCTGTCATTACGAAGTGGCCATGAAAATGTGCTCTAGCCTGTATTCAGCCACATATGCTTTGAATTATTTATTTAGAAAATATTTACACTACCTCTTCAGAGAACCTGCTCAGGAGCACTTATAAAATAATACATAATAAAAACAAAACCCAGCATTAAAAAGCTAGCCACTGCATAATATAACATAAACACTGAGCTGCTTAAGTTAACAGACCAAACACACACTAAAATGGTGTTAAAAGATCAACCCCTTAATTAAAAATCTGGGTGAACAGAAATGTTGTGGCCTGGTGCCTAAAAGAGAGTATAATATATGCCAGATGAGCCTCAAGGGAAAAGGCATCAATGAATAAGGTACCACTACTGAAAAAGTCCTATCTCTGGTTGCCACTATATCACCTCTAAAGGCAGGGTTTGTAAGGTAGACCTTAATCTGCAGGCTGGACAATATGGGTAGAGGCAGTCCTTCAGGTATCCTGACTCCTAAACCATTTAGGGAATTAAAAGGTAAGAACCAGCCCTTTGAATTGTGCCCAGAAACAAGTGGGCAGCTAGTGCAGACCTTTCAGTTCTGGGGTGATATGAGCCCTATATTCCACCCCTGACACTAGTGTGGCTACAGTATTTTGGACAAAGTGAAGTTTCTGGACCATTTTCACAGGCAGCCCCACATGGAGCACATTGCAATAATCTAACCTGAATGTAATCAGAATATGGATCACTATGGCCAGATTACCCTTTTCAAGGAATGGCTGTAGCTGGTGTATCAGTTGAAGGCCCTATGTTAATGACCCAGGTAAGCTTTGGATTCTGTAGATCAACTGGGGCAAGAATGCGGTTTGCCCCAGAAATTGCCTAAGGGCCTTTATGAATCCATCCAGAGTCATCAGCCTGTAGAAATGGACCATCTTAATGAGTTCTCAATACTCTGCAGAACATTGTCTTTCAGTATAAGCCATACCAATCGTCAATCCATGCTAAATTTCAGTACATAGACCAGATTGGATATACCACTCACTAAACATCTAGGAACCAAAATGTTTTGGAACAACCCCATGGTTTCCAAGGTGAACATGAGGTTCTGAAGTTGAGTTCTATCAGTTAAACTAATCTCATCATGAATGATAACTCCCAAAAACTCTGCTGCACATTGTGTGTATATATACAAACACTATGCTCATTTGCTAGCTAGTTTAAGAATCTATGCACCACTTAAAAGATTCAATAACTATTGATGTTCTCATAAACCTAAACTAACAATAAATTGTCCATTACTTTTAAAAGATATAGAAGTACTTGTGTTTCAAAGGAAATTATTTAATATTCAGATACAAGACAATTACCTTCTGAACAGTAGAATTTCCACCATTCAAGATGGCAATCTGAAGTTTTAATGTTGCTGCAACCATTGGCCCCATCTCTCCTGAAAAAATATACATTTTTAAATACATTTATATATAGTGTTTCTACTCTGCCTTTTTAGTCAAAGGATGGTAGAGCTTACTCAAGACTATGGAGACCCCTGCTAATTCCCCTTTCCAAATTAGCCCCTTACAACACACCCCACGGTTCTCACAAGTCGACCTACAGGAGTAGTTTTTGAAGACAAGGAGCTACAAAAAGAAAGCAAACACAGCTTAAATCTCTTCCATGAGTTCCACTCAACAGTAGAGTTTGGACCCAACCCAACAGCTGTACAACATAGAAGACTAATAGAACTGAAAAGCCTTTACCTTTGCAGGCACTAATTGTCTGAAGGACCATTTCAGCCGCTCCTCGATCATGTAGTCTTGCTTGCTGGTACAGGAGCTTTTGCTTTTCCATTTCTTTTTCCTGAACACAAGTCCCACATATTTAAGTTGGCCTTAAGTGAGTACTAGCTCTGTCATTTTCATATGCATGGGCTCTATTGCAACTTTGGGTCGAATAGAATATACACAATACTGTACTATTTCTTTTCTCAAAGTTCATATGATTTCTACATTCTACTTATTCTAATGGATGATTAGTACAAAGTTTTTTAGTAAAGATTTTTTTCCGGTTTAAAATAACAAAGATAGAGTTCATAGTCCTTAGTATGCACATACTGTATTCATTAAACTTACACTTCACCCTACATTATTGCAACTGTTTTCATTACCAGGTTTGTTTTTTTTCTGGGGGAACACACTGAAATGAGTTCTGGAACCTCTTTGACAAAATTCTTTTTAAAATGTTTAAAAGTTCATGAGTTTTCAGTATACAGACTGAAAACTTCATTTCCCGCTTGAGAGTTTCAGCACTTTTTTTTAAGCCCTGTTCATTACAATATTTTAGAGCATGAGAGTCAGTTAATCCTGATCAGTTCATGGTTCTTGGAATCTGTCACTGCACAATAGAAGAGAAAACTATATATTCAAGAATTATTTTAATAGGATGCAAAGATGAAAGAAGATATGTCATGTTTCACCTTCTTATTTTACAGTCTTGACTGGCAACAAACAAACTGACGTAAACAATCGTTGAACTGTGAAAGCTACTACTTAAAACCTAAAATGAATATAAAGCAAAATATCAAGGTACAGCAGATCTCTTAGCTTTCATGTAGTCAGTGACAGACCAGTAGAAAATTTAAAATTACAGCAGAGCACTGAAAGTTGCATAGAGCCCTATAACAGAGTCCATCGAAAGGTCTGTGTAAATGGAACATGACACTGTCAAGTAGTATCATGTCCAAAATCACAATGGCAAAATTACGTATTGACCTAAAAGCATCAGCAGCAGAAGTAGCCGTTGACAGTTTTGCTGACATAAACATTCCATCTAAGTACAGAAAGTCGACATTAGAAGATGGAAGAGGTTTAAAAAATGAAGGGTTGTTGGATATTATTATTCTTTTTAAAAAACTAAAATTTCATGAAGATGGGAAGGGCTCCCAGAAAATGCTTGTTGAAGCTAGAAATTTGTTTCTTATGTTTTTCTTAGAAAATCCTAGTATGGAGATAATACTTGTTAGAAATTTCCTTCACACTAGTATTCACATTTCCTATGTGTAAATGCTCTTAAATGACATAAACAAAGCATGTGGGAAAATAGTGCCGTATCACTTTGCCACCAGAGTAGTCAGCAAAAGTTTGACTTCTTTTTTAAACCTCTTCCTATGAGGAGAGAAACAAAAGCAGAATCACACACAACCAAAACATCATTACAGCACAATTTCAACGAAGCTGCAGTACAATCTTCTTCTGCGTCAAATGTTTTTGAGAATGGAAGGTTTTTATTTTTCTACGTTTCATTTTTTAGACCCAACAATCTTTTTTCTCTATTCTACTGCAAATATACTTATCAATTTTTGCCATAGTATTAATAAAGTTAATGGGAAAACCCCCCCAAATTTGAAGCCTCTCCCCTTTAATCTGAAGTGGCTTGACACCAAATATATGGGCAATTCATCAAGACTGTTTTCAAGGTGCTTGAAATCTGAGAACTCAAGCAAAGGCTTAAACATTGTAATTATTAGCAGCATGTTTTATCAGATATTAGATTAACATCCTGAGCACACTCCTGTGTGGGGGAACTTTTCCCCTTCCCACAAAAAATGCACATTTGTCTCTGGGAGTTCTGAAAAGATGTGGTACAGTCAGAAATTTGTCAAAATATTGTAAAAATAATATTTTTATTAAAATGCTTTTCATCTCATTATTCTTGCTGCTCTGTGCTTAATTTTTATGTGTTATCTGCTTTCTAAAACTCTCTGAACTAAAAACAAAAAATAATAAATTTTGTTTTCACTCTTATTTAAATACACTGAAAAAACCAAAAGATCTACTGATTGTCATGAATTTTGAAATCCATATATGACTGTAAGGCAATGATTAATGTATTAAAGATTTTACATGCTGTGTTTTATAACCTAAATGATTTCAGTTTGCCCTAATATGAAACTGATCTCCAAATACAACAGTTTGAAAGAAGTTTATTTATATAATGCCTAACAATCTGGATAGTGGTGGTGCACGTTCAGGAATGGTATGGGGGCCAATTTTTAGTGTCAACTTGGGTACCAGCAAACATCTGAGAGATGAGAAACACTGCAACACACAAAGTAAGGCCCAAATAAATGTATTATAGGATGCTGGAGAGAGAGATTCGGGAGAAAGTTGGGTCAGTGGTTGCTGAAGAGCACCGGCTGAGGCAGTTAAGGGACACAGGTGCCAGGCCACTGATCAAAGTGACCAAAAGGGAGACAGAAAAAAAACAACAACTTCTGATTCCAACCACTTATAAATCATAGTGCAGAAAGAAGGAAGAGGAAGTGGGAGCAGGCCATAGACGGGGGGGGGGGTTAAGTCAGTTTCAATAAAATACAAAATCCCCTCTAGGATAACGCAGGATTTCAAAATACAAAAGTAATTCTTCAGGGCATAAATTACAACTAATAAGAGTGGTGAATAATACTAAATTAAGAGATTATTTTAGAATATTTATATCCTCCTTTTTTAGAGCCCTGAGGTGGTTTATACAAGATTACAAAACTATACCTACTTAGTCTATGATCATCCTAAAAACCTTCAAATCAATCTGCTTTTCTTTTGCTGTAGAAGATGTTTAAAATAATGACTGTACAAGAACTTCATCCATCTGACTATGAATACTCAAGATAATTAAAACTAAAAAAAGAAAGAATAAAAACAATAAAGTATCATCAAATAAACAAAAAACAACCTCATTAGCACAAAAATTAATATGCCTGTGTGCTGGAGAATTGTTCCTCATAAAGTTGTTATTTATGGGGGAAAAACAGTTCTTGGATGGTACAATATGGGATCAATTTGTGCATTAATAGAATAAAGGAACATGTTTTACAAAGTCCTCGTTTACTTGTAATAGCCTCTATAAAAAGGCAGTGAGCTCCCTTCCTGGAAAGATAATGCAGTAGCCATATTGCTTGCTGTCCCTGTTTTCATATGAGGCTACTTGCAAAGAGAATTTTTTATCTACTATTACTGCTTTACCCACTCTCGAATGGCTCAGCTGCCTTTCAATTTGCTCTTGCTTTCACCTGAAAATGGGCAGACATGTCCACCCCATGAAGAGTTACAGATTGAGGGAGAATGAGAGTCTGCCCTTTGGATGTACCAAAACAGAGACTGTCTGCCCTTTGGATGTACCAAAACAGAGAGAGAATACGTAGACCGTTATCAACATTAATCCAGTGATCACATTGCTAGATGATATTATTGGCTAATAACAAGGTACTGTCAATTTTGTTAGGAGAGACCCAAATGTCAGATTCTGCTCATAATAGTAGGACAGAGTGGATCACTTTGAAACAGATACTCAGAATATGTAGCAGCTCAAGGAATTGGTATATTTTGATGCAAAATTATTAAGGCTTCAATCCTAAAACACTTTCCTGGGAGTAAGCCCCATTAAATTTACCTGTTTAGGATTGCTTCTTAAATTACTTATTATCTGAAAAAATTGCATTGTGAAAAATTAAGAATAAGTGGACAGTAAAAACTTTGCCATAGTCATTATGGAATCATATGGGGTTTTTTCCCCCTTGGGAATTAGGCTGCTGTATAAAAATAAACTAAAAAACTTTACCCTCTCATACACAGGGAGATCAGATGACAGAAACAAACAATCATATTTTACTGTACAAAGTTTGATACTAGACAAAATGGCATGTCACTGCATTTTTTTCCAGCTATTTTTACAATATACACTCTCTACAGTTTCTTAAACTTCTAAAAGATCTGGTTAAGTACCACGTCCTTTAGATGAAAGGTCAAAGGTTGACAGTAGGCCACCTTCTGGTGGAACTCCTAGTGCCTGCTGGTTGCTGAGATCCTTTCAAACAGTGTTGGATTAGAGGCACCTTGGTCTAATCCAGCAAGGCACTTCTTATGTTCTTATGGGAGACTGCATTAAAAGATAGTCCTTCATACCAAATAGCTATTCCTTAACTGTTAAGAGATCCTGATCCTGAGTATACAGTCTTGATTTATAAATCTAAAGCATATCAGAAAAATAATGTGGATTCTAATGAATACTAAGGTAGATAATGTAACTCTAGTCTGTCTTGCTTTAAAATCATGGAGAAATCTTGACAGAAAAATGAACTATCTTCACAAAATATATACTACGCATGAGAAAGAGTTTAGATTGAGGAATCAGTGCTTGGAAACAAGTATTTTTATCTCTATCTTCACACAAGAAAGTTGTTTTTGAAGAGGCAATCATCACACAACATAAGAGTGGATATAGTAAACAAATGTAAAATAAATATTAAAGGGGAAAATCCAAATAGAATACGTTAGGTCTTAGAAAAACTAATTGATAATTATAAATAAGTAAACTTATTCTATACGTTTATTATACTTCTATGACCAAGGGTGAACGGGAGTAAAAATTGGAACAAATAACCTATCTAGTGCATTATCAGGGAATGGTGTTGCTGTTCTGTTATTAAGGAATAATAGTAGTTTGGATTCAAAGCCTTGCTTTTGTTTGCTCTGTGCTTTGTCCTCCCTCTGCGTGTGGGAGGGTTGTCCCTCTGCTGCAGATAATCTTCCTCTGGTATTAGGGAATCTTCCTCACCACTTTCATGCTCCCCATCAGTCCCTTGCAACTAGGGTTGCAACATGCTGATTCCATTCTGGGAAATTCCTGGAAATTTGGGGGTGGATTCCGGGGGGGGGGGGAATCATGCCATAGAATCCATCCACTGAAGCAGTCCTTTTCACCAGGGGAATTTATCTCTGTACTGTATAAAAGGTTTCCAAGTAATTAAAAACATTGATTTAGACTGTTTTCCATCTTTTAAATGTTCATATTCTGTTAATTTAGCCAATTTTATAATTTGCCAGTCCATACCTTGTTAATCCATTCCTTGGTTGAAAGATTTTTGGCAAAACACCACTTTTTAGCTATGATGGTGTTAATATATGGATATCTTTGTTTAGAAGCAGCATTTTGTTCAAATCCTAGCAATATAGTTAGGGGATTTTTAGGTACTGAAACTCCTGTTGTGTGATCAATTTCATTTAAAACTCTTGTCCAGAAGGTAGAAACAACTGGACATGACCACCACATCCATAAGCTCTAATGACAGAAGAGACAAGAAAAGCCACTTTGACCTGTGTTGCTGTTACTCCACACAGATCTTGCAATCCTGAAAATCAAATTTCTCAGGGTCAGAAGGAACTGCGGGGCGGGGGGGGGAGAAAAGCAGCTGTTAATGACTTCCATTGATGCGACTGATGGATTCAACTCACTGGTCTTGTGTAAGTAGCTGTGCCTAGGACCAGAGGAATATCCTTCCAATGGAAAAGAGTATAGAGAAGTGGAGGCAAGGCTTAGGACTCAAGGCAGTATAATGAGTGAGCCATTTTACTGTGTTAGGTGGGGAAGATGCAATTAGAAGCCTACAGAAGAGCTCAGACATCTTCAGTTGGGGCAGGGGGGAAAAGAAAATAGTGCTGCCTGCTAGCTGTCACTGCTTATTTTAGAATCTTAGTAGATGTGGTCACAGACAAACACAGGGATAATGAACAATGACTTTCATTCAGTCGACAAACACAGGGATAATGAACAATGACTCTTAAATTTTCAAGCAAATTTAGCTATTTTACAACTGTGAGTCAATCTGTGTTTATTGTTTAAGTTAAATGCCTTATTAGAGCACTGTGCAGGTACATAGTTTCTGAGTGGCTAGTGGTATCCAGCACTAGAAAGTGACATCATCATCACATGCTTCTGCTGGGTTCACTAGTAACTCAGAAGCTAAGTACCTGCATGTTGCTGCAGTAATGGCCCTGAAAGCTCTGCCACCGCCTTCCAATGTCTGCTGGTAAGGGTGCAGCCTTTCTTTGCCCTTTCAGTATCACACACCAATGGAAGCTGACATAGTCCTTGCATCCTAACCCATGAGCCACCACTTCATGAGAGATCAGAGGAGGTAACCCCAACTAAAGGGAGAGGGAAAATATATGCCAGTTGGTGTAAGGTAAGGAAGAATTTCTATAACTGTTGATTAAAACCAACTTAAGTTGCATTGATCAATTTAATGAGGTCATATTGGTCAACTTGAGATCTTTCATGCCTACAAAGAACTGAGTTGGTTTCTTTAAAAGATAAGAAAAGAAAAAGAACAAAGGCATCCTAACTCTTTCTAGATGAGAAGAAGAGAATTTGCAATAATATCCACCAGCACCTAGACTACAGAACAAGAAGCATTCTTTGAAATCCAGTTTTAAGGAAAGATTATCACTCCTTTTTCTAGTTTCTAACAGGAGGGAAACCACAACAATGGTACATAATACCTGCCCATTCATAACTTAACGAATTATATACAAAAAATACATCTTAAATCAGATGACTAAATTGATGTTTTAAAATGTAAAATTAAAATAATGCTAGAGTAGAAGAATGATCCAAATTCAGATTTTTAGAAAGAGAACTCAGAGAAGGACCAAGAAATATTCCTCAAACACTAAAATGTACAGGTCCATGCATCCCTAGTTTACATGCACACATAGCAACAGAATTCAAAAGGCATCTCCAAATAGCAAAACAGCAACAAAATAGGAGTATTTTACCAACAGTAGGAACCAAGAAGTTGGGGCTACAGCTGGTAAAAAGGGACCACTGGAAGTTATGAGGTCGGAGGTTATGAAGAAATGGTAAATTATTTTAATGTACCCTACCTGCTGCCACAATATAAATAGTGATGTTTGAGGGTTGAAAACCAATTCATATTATATCATCTGATTCATATGATACCACTAAACTCTATACTAATCTTAGTAAGCAATCATATAGGCTACAGTTTATCGGAAATGGAAATTGTACTAGGCAGCTTTCACCATCATAAACTGCATTTATATAGCAGTCCTTAGTTAATCCACAGATAGTATTGAAAGTGACAGAAACTAAATGAATATGTTAATTCATTCAGTTTAAGATGTTTTTATGTCATTTATAATAAAGGCTTAAAAGACTAAAATGACTAAAACATGGGGAGAACAGACAGAAAGAGTATACATTGCTCTTGGAACTAAAAACGCTCCCAAATTTGCTAAAACAGTCCTCAATAAACTTCTCCAAGATGTTGGGTCTAACAAAACTAAGTGTAACAAGATTAGACCCACATAGATACACACACACATTATTTTACCTTGCTGCGTTGAGATCCTGTGACCTTAAGGAAAGGCGAGGATAAGAAGTGAAATAGCAATAAGTGTCCAAAATACTCTGATTACAACTGAATAACCAAATGCATATTCTAAATTGTACTTCCTGGGGGGGGGAATTATCCTTTGTTTCCACATAGTCCTTATTGTAACTCTAAACAAACACCGAAACAAATTAGAAAATAAACAGGTTGCTTACCTGACACTGGTAGATGGATAAGAGATCTGAGATCCAAGCCTGCACAATTCTAGCTTTGCAGCATTCTACAGCTTTAGCCCAAGAGCCTACTGCTCCTTATTTCTACTGAAGGAATGGACCCAAGTGAGTGCACATGCTATCAGAGATGGAACAAGAACCTTCCTGTTCATTTCCTTCTTAACTGTTTTCATGAGGTACCTATGAGCCACTGGAAATTCCAGAGAACACTGGGAAATGTCAGTGAGTTGTGTGACCCAGCCATTTGAAGAACACTAGGTACCAGTAAGCAGCCATTTTTCTTCTTCATATTCTCTGTGCTTTCACTCATAAGGGAGACAGGAAAGCTGACATTTTTGAAAGATGAAGCTGTGTCGTCATAGGAACAAACTATGTAGCACCATTTGATTGAAGCACCATTTGATGTCTGCTTGGGAACCAGGTGTTTGGGCATAATACTTGACGAAGCTGGATAACATAGTCCACCCTATAGATCTACAGACTTCTAGAATGGGCAGATATATCAACAAGGCTGCGGAGGTGGAGACACCTGTATTCAAGCAGCCTGTAAGTGCCTGTTTAGCCAATAGCAATAGCAGGGAAAACCATGGCTGGCATGGTCACCATAGTATGACAAGGATGCAAGTTGCATGGCCCTAATGGGTCTTTTCAAGAACCTGAGAGATCAAGGCCGAAAACAGACACAAGAATCCCTGGCCATCACCTTATGAAGCCATCTCCCATGGAACTAGAAAATGGCAACTAAAAAAGAGGCTGGAACACCTTTTATACAAATAAAACCTTAGGAGTTGGGGGCTTTTCAGTTTAGAGAAAAGGCAACTATAAAGAAGACAGGATAGAGGCTTATAAAATTATGAAGAGAACTTTTCCTCCACTTCCATGGCACTACAGCTCAGGGATACTCAATAAAGTCAATGGGTATTAGATTTGGGACAGACAAAAGGAAATACATCTTCATTTATTTAACTCATTGAATTCACTGAAATAGTGATGGCCATTGGCCACTAACATAGACAGCTTTAAAAGGAAATCAGAACATTTGTCAAGGCCCACCAATGGCTATTAATGAGACCTCTGTATTCAGAGACAGAGACATAATTCTGAATGTTAATTGCTCATGGGAGGCAACAGCAGTGGGAAGTTTTGGTCTTCTTGCATCTGGGTCAGCAACTGTGAGAAACAAGTTGTTAGACTAAATGGATTACTATTATAATCTGCTCTTGTGTTCCTACGTTCCAAAGAAGAAGGAAAACTGGCGAAAAGAAAAGGAAACTGAAGGACAGAAACTTCATAATTAATTACTGTGTTCTGCTAGCTGCTGCTAGCAATGCACTTAGAACAAAACCGAGCAAGTAGGTCCTCACTCCTTAAGACATTTTCAGTAATTCAAAATACCCCTTTAAGAAGGGAGGGTTCCCAGGCTTAAAGCTTTAGAGTGTTTCAAAGTTAGCTCTACAACATTGGCATAGATCCAATATGAATGACAGCCCAGAGGACTACAAGGATGAATGTATCCCTATATCCTATGGAATTAGTTTACTGTTCACTCTCTCCAATAATTTTCTGATTGAAAAATAAAATACGATATTAAAACTAACCTAACTTTATAACCCAATCTTCTCGCATAAGTGCATATGTGCTGCATAAAATAGAATATTTATTTATTTTATTTATTTTTCGAATTTCTACCCCGTCCTCCCGACCGAAGCCGGCTCAGGGCAGCTTACATAAAAATAGATAAGTTACATTAAAACATAAGTTACAATTAAAACAATTCTAAAACCATAATAAAGTACTAGTAGTCATTGTTGTTCTTCTATGACGGTAGCAGCCATTATTCAGAGTTCTCAGCTTGCAGTCAGCTCACAGTCCTTGCAGTAGTGGCAATTTCCAGAATCTAGGGCCCTCTCACATTCAACCATCCGATGTGCTTCATTGGTGGTGACAGTGGCTCCCAAAAGCCTGGTGGAAGAGCTCCATTTTACAGGCCCTGCGAAACTGTAAAAGGTCCTGCAGGGTCCTGTTCTCCTCTGGGATCTCATTCCACCAGGATGGGGCCCTGGTCCTGGTCGTCGACAACCTAGCCTCCTTAAGACCCAGGAGGGCTAGCCGGTTCTGAGCCCCTGACCACAGTGCTCTCTGGGGGACAGGTGGAGAAAGGCAGTCCCTCAGGTATGTCGGTCCCTGACCATGTAGGGCTTTAAAGGTAGGAACCAGCACCTTGAAACAAATCCAGTATGCTATTGGCAGCTAGTGCAATGCCTTCAGCACAGGCTGTATGTGCTCCCATCTAGAGAGCACCATCAAGAGCCTGGCTGTGGCATTTTGCACCAGCTGCAACTTCCGGATTTGAGACAAGGGCAACCCCATGTAGAGAGCATTACAGAGGTCCAGTCTCGAGGTGACTATCACATGGATCACTGTCGCCAGGTTGTTGCATTCGAGAAAGGGAACCAACTGCCTATTATTGCATCACCTCAGTGCAGGGCTACCAGGCCTCCCACTATGGTGGGAGGTCTCCCACTGGCACCCTTAATTGCCCACCAGCACTCCAAGTAGTGGCAGGAGAAAAATTACATTATCAGTGCAGCTACATCACTTCCAGGAAAAACCAGGGAGTGATGCAGGGTAGCTCCAAGAATCCCCAGAACCTCTATGGTTTTACCATACTGTTTCCAGCTATTCCTAGAGCTGTCCTGCATCACTTCTGCTTTCCCCCCAAAAGTGATGCAGCAGCCAGACAATGTCATTGTTCCCCTAGTCCCCACCTTCAACCCACCTGTCAGTTGCACAGCCTGGTAACTCGGGGGAGGGCTTTCTAATTTGATATAAGCATGAGTCCTGTTTGCCTAGCTAATTCTGTTATGTTCCTTCTTTTGTCTTTTTATATTTGTTCATAGTGTAGTCAATAATTCTGACTCTGAATCCTACAGTTCAACCATTAATAAATGAAAAAGTGCTCTTGAGTTGCAACCAACTCATGGAAACCACAATCTTCCTTGGTGGTCTCCCATCCAAGTACTCACTGTTTCCAACCCTGCTTAGCTGCCAAGCTCTGATGAGCCTGGACTAAGTTGGGCTATTCAGGCAGCTGCTTCAACGATTACATACAACAACAAATCAGTGAGATACTGGGTAAAACCTGTCAAACCACAGATCTCTTGCCTCATGATTGTCTCATTCCATCATTAGTTTAGGTCATCCTTGGAATTCTAATTATACGATTACCACCATTCTCAAGCACTTTCTGGGTACAGTAATTAAAAATGTGTGCCCTTTTATAAAGTTTCAGAACTGACATATTTGCACAACTGAAATAAATTTGTGAAAGAAGACAAAGAAGGAATAAATAACATGCAAATAATGGATAACAGTGAGTACTAATAATGAACAACAATTATAGGGAGAGCAAGAAGAGGCAATAAAATAGCAGTTCTATAACAAATTTGCCTAGAGTTGTACGGAGATTGATTGTGATATAATACTGTATGGAATTTTATTTATGTCTCTAATGCCTGGAAGTCGCACATGGGTGGTGTTGGTGTTGGACTTTTTTATGAAATAAAATAAATTTAAAAATTAAAATTTTTAAAAAAATTGCCTAGAAATTAATTATTAATGTATTTTTCACAGTTCCACATTATTCCTATATTACTAGTGAGGGAAAAGCAACACTTGGTGTTATTTTTCCTGCAATTTATGCGTAATCTACAACAGTACAAAAATGTAATTTCTTTCTCACAGTGGTCAACATTTTTTAATGAAGCAAATGCCACCATTATCATTATTCCTTCTACTAGTGACATTGGTAGCTTTCTGCCCAGAGCACAGCAGGAGAAACAGGGACATTAACAGACAAGGGGTTCTCAAGGTATATGGGAAAATATTGTTTTGTAAATTAAAGTTAGGAAGAAGTGTGGCAATTCCTCTCAAACAATCTGATGAGAACTGAGCATACTCATTGTCCTTGACCAGGCATGAAATGTTGAGGACAGTTAAGTAGCAAAAAGAGAGGGGGAAAGGAAAATAAATTGGGGGAGGTGGATATTGACCAAACAGCTTTTGTCATCTTAGAAGTAGGGGGGTGGAGGAATGCATGCTCTAAGCTGTACATCCTTATTTTCCCTCCCTTGCCAGTTAAGGATTTTATAAATTTTGAAGGATTCTGAGTGCTCTGAATATAAAAGAATCAAAGTATGAGATTAATTAGGACTGTAGCAAAAGTATTTCCTCCAGTCCAATTAACTGTACTCACCAAGGGGCTTTCTGCTGAAAAGACTCCTGAAACCATACTGACTTATAGCATCCTGGAAGTTGCAGTAAAATTACAGTACATAGGGTTGCCAGCTTCCAGGTGGGGCCTGGAAATGCCCTGGAATTACAACTGATCTCCAGATTACAGAGATCAGTTCCCCTGGAGAAAATGGCTTCTTTGGAGGAGGAACTCTATGGCATTATATCCTGCTCAGCTCCCTCCCCACCCCAAACCCTGCCCTCTCCAGGCTCCTCTCCTATAATCTCCTGAATTCCCCAACACAAAGTCAGCAACCCTACCAGCACATCATGGGGAATGGATTAAAAAAAACCCCTCCTTTCCTATGCTTAGGGATGCCAGCCCCCAGGTGAGACCTGGGGATCTCTAGGAATTACAGCTCATCTCCAGGCTACAGAGATCAGTTCCCTTGGAGAAAATGGAGGATGGACTTGATGGCCTTGTTCCCAACTGAGGTCCCTGTCTTCCCCAGGCTCCACTCCCAAATTTCCAGGTGTTTCCCAACCTGGATCTGGCAACCCTGCACCTCCATCCCCTGCTGTTGGCCAGGGGGCATCTGGAAACCCTATATGCTCCTCAGGATCATTGCTAGGAGAGTGGTTTTCTGTTCACTTGCCTGTACCATAGGCCTAATGAACAACAATACTAGGCAGCAGAGATTGACAGCTAATTGAACAAGAATCTACTCATCTAGCTCACCGGTATCATACAAATGCAGTACAAATGGTGAGACTCGCCTAATTTTTATTGCTCCCCATGATTCCTTGCTTGTCCTGAAATATTCTGTTATCTGCTATGAAAATGACCCCAGCAAATGGATTCCTTATTGATCACTGAGTGCATTCTTCTGATTACAGAAGAATGAGTATAATCAAGGGCACAGAGTTCAGTAGGTGTTCTAGAACTCTTTCAGCACAGAAAGCATATGCAATTTGATTGTGTATAGCACTACTGTACTTTAAATTACAGGATGTTTTAAAATATATTTATTTTTGTCCAAGGGCCACTACTCATACACAAAGGGACTGTGTGTGTGTGTGTTTTCACAAGGGTATATTTTTTACAAAAAAACCCAGTTCTCAAAGTTGAAGAAACATGGGACTATGGGAATTATATTACCTCCAGTGGTCTTTGATCTCAACAGACTCTATGAAAATGGGAAGTTCTGCTCAACTTATGCAAAAATTGACAGGAGATTTTTGGAGCAAAACTATGCATTAATGAGATGGAGCTGGAGAGATCTGATCATCCTTAATTAAGTCATATGGTTATTCTTTGTATTGTTTTGTAGCTTAGTCAACTGTAGTTTGAGAACTGTATCTCACTGTTCTGTTTCTCCAAACATTACATATGGTAGCTGCACTCATCAAAATGTTGTCTACATTCTACTAAAATTTCAGCAACAAAGCATGGCAGGAGAATTGCTGCCCTCACAGATATTCACCTTCCTATGTGAAAACCACAGTGGCATACCATTAAAGTTGATGTACCTCCTGAGATTTCTGGAGACAACTACTGTTTTGATTTCTATTTTGCCAGTGGCCTGGCCAAGTTTATAACAAAGTTTGAGTCCAGTGGCACCTTTATAATTAACAAACTTTTATTCAAGGTATGAGCTTTCATGTACATGCACACAGTGAAATGGAACTTACCAGTCCATACATATAAGGCAGAGGTTGAACAGCAAATTAGCATACAATATAATGAAATGTTTTAACAGATGCAAACAGGAATAACAAGCTAAGTTTATATGACCATATAAACCACTTCACTGTGTCTGAGGAAGTGCATGTGCACACGAAAGCTCATACAAATAAAACTTTGTTGGTCTTAAAGGTGCCACTGGACTCAAACTCTGTTCTACTGCTTTAGACCAACATGGCTACCCACCTGGATCTAATATTATAACAATCACAGACTTCTGATCTCTTAGATATTCTTATGGTGGGGTTAAAATTAATGGAATAAGAAGGTATGTGGCTAACAGGTTCCATTCATAGCTAGCAATGAAGCTTCGGTGTGCTGTGGATGATCAAATTCTTCAAATGTATTAAAGTGATATCATAGAAATCTGTTCTGCTCTGATCCTACTGAACATGTATTTATTGGTCACAGGTTGATATAATGTAGAAACCAGGAACTCAAATCACTTATGACAACTCCTCCAAGGTAGCTTCACAATCTCACTGCTTATTAATTATCTAGCCATACTGCACCTGAATGCTGATGGCACTTGGTGAGTTTTGTGACCTAAAAACAAGTTCCACTTCCCATGACAATAGACTGAAAGCTGTGGAGTTCCCTACAATCAGCCAGTGATAGCAATGAGACTCAAATGTGAAGTGCATACATGCATTATTATCCTTGTCCCTCTTTATAGCACATAGCAATTGTCTCTCTACGTATGTGTTTTAAGGAGGAATAGCAGTGATAATATATGCAGGTGTGGCTCACTTCTGATCAGCTACTTGGGTACCAGAGTACAAAGTAATTCTCCAAATGCAAATCTAGCTATCTGCACTGACATTTTTCATAACCCCTACTGTGTTACCTTTGCTGATATTTAAGAAGTTTCAATTAATTCATATTACAATACTGTGTCTTAAAATGTGGGCAGTTACAACCAAAGAGTCATCAGAAACGGACAGTATCCAAGTCCCATACCTGTATCTCTTGCCATCTCTAGGGACACCTAGGGAGTCGGGACCTATACAAAATTTATTGTACTTCTCTTGACCTATGAAAGCAAACCTCCCTTCTAATATACATAGGTGATGTATAAGATCAACAGACAGCACAATTTAATATTTGTACCTTACTTTTTAAGAGCAGGGGCAGAAAACAAGTGGTTGCTTTGTCTATTACAAAATTTGCATAGAAAGCCTTCTAAGTGGCTGTAATCATTTATTTATTTATTTAATTTTATTTATACCCCGCCCTCCCCGCATGCGGGCTCAGGGCAGCTTACAATATACGGGTGCAATACAACACCATGACGAAGATTCATTCATCAAATTCCTCACTGAAGCATATTTCGGAAGTAATATAAAATAATTTAATTCAGCTTGGCTTTTAGTATAACTATGTGGCTGAGCTTTAAACATGTTTGATCTGTTTGAATAAGAAAATGTCCATTTAGTTTTCTTGGGATTATGCAGAGAAAATCATGCAATAAAAAACACAACTTAGAAGCTATGAAATAATGTCTAATACATAAGAGGGAAAGATCCAATTAACAATCTTACTTCAAAACTCTTCACCTCCTCTTCACCTTCATCATCTTCTTCATCATGACAGCTCTGAAACCAAACAAAAACAATCACATTCACAAATAGCTTCTAAAGTCAAATGCATTAGTTTTAGAGATAAACGTTCTCTCACACACTCTCTTCTTGAAATAAAAGATGCACTTAACATATACATGTGGGTATTGTCTTTCAAATTACAAAAACATTTTATTTTTAATTTAGTAAACAAATAATGAGAAAAAAATACCTTTGCCATAATATCAGCATACGCCATATAAAGGTAATCTTCTTCCAATTTACTGTGATGTAGAAAAGAAAGAAGAAAGGGTTGCTATTATTATGGAAGTCACCAGTCACCAAGTCTTGAGAGAGCACTGATGTTCTATAAATGGAGATTTGGGGAGAAAGTGGTTAACACATATTTAAAAATATCCCCCTCACCACTTTTCAGTTAATGCTGTTCGACTGAATAATAAAATAAGTTGATGCAATGGATCAACTCTTTTCATGCATTCCTCTTCATCTGGTAGTTCTTCTCCAGGCTTCTATAGGGGGGAAAAGAACACAGAATCATAATATATAATGTTGCCTGACGTATAAAAAACATATAGGCTAGAGCTTAGAATTACAACCTTGCAGCCAAATTTGTACTATCAACATGGGATTGTTGCTCAGGACTGGATGAGTGAACAGCCATAAAACATCTTATCCCACAACCACAACAACAGTGCTACTACAGGACTGAAGACAGGCAGGCATATACATATTTAAAGATATTCTGTGCCTTGCTACTGGCTGTAGGATTTTGGGTATCTTTGAACAAGGTTGCCCCCTTAACTAAAAAAAGAAGAGTTGGTTTTATACCCCACTCTTCACTACCTGAGGGAGTCTCAGAGTGGCTTACAATCGCCTTACCTTTCTATCCTCACAACAGACACCCTGTGGGGTAGGTGGGGCTCAGGGATTTCTGAGAGAACTGTGACTGACCCAAGGTCACCCAGCCGGCTTCATGTGAAGGAGTGGGGAATCAAACCCGGTTCTCCAGATTAGAGTTTGACATTCTTAACCACTATACCAAACTAGAAAGAGGCAGGACTGATAATTCTGATAATTCTCTCACACTCTTCTTGAATATCTTTGTTGTCTTGTGCAAAGTGAAAATGGCCTTACTGCTAAGATGTAAAAGTGAGAGATGTAAAAGTGATTGCACCGCTTGGGAAAAGTGATCATAATGTTGTTGAGTTCAACATTTGTATAAATAAGGAATTGGGCAAAAAGACTGACTCAACCACTTTTAACTTTAAAAGGTGTAACTTCTCTGATATGAGGGGACATGTGGGGAGGAAACTGAAAGGAAAAGTAGAAAGGGTCAAAACCATTGGGGAAGCTTGGAAACTATTTAAAACTACGATCCTAGAAGCTCAAAAAATATATTCCACAGGTTAGAAAAGGCACAAATAGGTATAGGAAAAAGCCTGCATGGTTAACAAACAAAGTAATGGAAGCTGTAAAAGGTAAAAAGGATTCCTTTAAGCAGTGGAAAACTAGTCACAGTGAGGCTGATAAAATGGAACACAGGCTATGGCAAATAAAATAAAAGTCTGTGGTCAGGCAGGCAAAAAGGGAATATGAGGAGCATATAGCAAAAAACATAGAGTGTTGGACTGGATGGGCCTTTGGCCTGATCCAACATTGGCATCTCTTACGTTCTTATGTTCTTTAGGCAGCTCCACAAATTCCCATCTATTACACCAGACTTTTGAGTCAATCTGACAATAAGCTGCAATTACACATAAAACAAACCACAGTTCCCAGTTCCATGAACTCTAAACCTACTGCTAAATCTTCTATTAATGTATCTTCAAAGTAGTGGTCTTCTGTTTCAACCCAGGACTTTTCATATCCTTGAAGAAAAAGATTGACAGCCCGATGCCTAAAAAAGAAAATACTTCCTTTTTCATTTTATTCTAAAGTGCATAAAGACAAATTCCAAGTATATATAAAATTTCCCCTAGACTGGGCATTCTGGACTTCAAGGCTTGCTTATAGTGCCATTTGTAGGAAGATGCAAGCTGCCATTTCCATTTTGTAGAGCTTTCAGTTCTTTTTATTATCTCAAGTACAAGCACAGAATTAAAGTAATGGTGTTTGCCACTTGCTAAGTGTTCCATTTCCTCTCATTGTGTCATTCAAATGGTGTAAAATCAGGCTTTTGTTAATTTTGTTAATGAGATTTTTTCCTTTGACTCTTCTAGAGAGCTTACAAACCTTTTCCTCACCTCCAAAGTAAACTAATTAACAGCTTTCAATTTTATATATCTACACGATTTAGCTTCAACAAATCTCCCTCCGTTGTGTGTTAACTCCCACAATGTATTTTGAGGTAACAGTCATACTGATTTCAATGGGATGTGCCACCTGATCCTATGGATGTTTACCCAGTAGTAAGTCTCAAGGAATTCAATAGGACTTACTCAGAAGTGTGCATCGGATTGCATACTCAGAGTGCTGAACTTTTGCCCAATGGAACCCAGAAAATGCAATCCTATCCTCTATTTCTCCACTTCCATGAGATCACACATACCGTGGAAGGTTATACAGTGGTGCCATTCTGAAGCAAGCTACTACAGCTCGTTTTCTCTGTTTGGACAGAAGTTTATGCCATACTGCTTTTTTTGACCTCTGCGGATGCTCCACCTGTAGAGCAAATGGAAATGGAAATGAACCATCTCTTCTAGACTGATACCCAGATTTTTTTTAAAAGGACTGAAAGAAAATAAACACATAATATTTAAAACTGACAGAAGTATGCAAAAGTGCAGTGTCTACTCTAAGATGCCCTGAGCCTAAACTGTATTATCCCAAGGAATATATCTATTACTGTGACATCCTGAATTACCAGTTTTAAGAATGCAAGAAAACACCCCACAAAAAACATACAAAGTATTCAGACGGCCAGCCAAACATCATATAGTCCGTATTTTAATTACTTCATTTATAGACTGCCTTTCCCACTGAGACTCAAGGTGGATTATATAATATAAAAAATTCAATCAGACAGCATAAAACATGCAATGAACAATGCAGTAAGACGAGGATTATAGAACAGGATGAAGCACAATAGTTTATTATGAGTATTTTACAATGTTGCAAACATCTCAGTCAAACAATGTACAAAAATCTTATGGCCACGGTCTAGAAAATGGCTCAGCTGGATGCAATGTAAGAAGTCTACAATCAATTCTCTGGACATCATTAATTTTCTTTAAAAGCAGCTTCAGAGTATGTGTGTACATGCACATAATTTCTTTCATAGCTGTGATGGGGAGTTAACTGGCATCACTCCTCAAACTGAAATAATCCATTTCGGTGAACTGCTATTGTCTTCATGGCCCAGTTAAACTACTGTTCCCCACTCCACAACTTTGTTATGTCTGTACTTCCTGCTACTGGTTTGCCCAGTTCTAGTCCATAATCTATCCTCTGTTTCATAGATGTTAAGTTTCTCAGGCAAAGAGAATGGTGTTTCTTTTGTCTGTGAAGTGTGAAATAAATGTTAAACAACCACGTTATTACTAGTCTTGGTATTCACTTGTAAGATTAACTAGTACCACTTTTCTCTGTGCCTGAGAAAGCCTGTGATTCTAACTCAGCATGTGGAAACTACATGCTCCCCCAGCAAACAGAACTGAGGGACTTTCTGCATGGATGGATAGGAGCTGTTGGCTTTGTAGCTTATTCAGTGGAACCACAGACTGTACTCAGAATTAGGGATGGAGATAGAGTACTGTTCTTTAATAAATCAAACTTTTGTGCTTCAAAATGCATGCCAGTGAGGATATTTTTAGAAAAAATGTAACAGAGTACTGAATTCAGTTAAGACCAGGGGTCATTTCCTGCAGGAGCGCACAGGAGCGGAGCTCCAGCAGTAAAGAGCCCAGGGGGTGGGTTCTTTACTGCAACAAGCCCCACCCCCTGCTCCCAGCAGCCCTCAGTCAGAGCAAGAAGCAGCCAGGTAAGTTGCAGAGCCCCCCCTTTGGTCCCCCAGTCCAAAACAGTCCAGTGGCACCTTTAAGACCAAGTTTTGTTCAGGTACAAGCTCTCCCTCCTCTGCGAGGACAGATCTGCATGTTTCTCCCCCCCCCCCAATAGCTAGCAATCCAAAATAGTCCAATGGAGCCTGAGCGGTGGGTGTTGCCTTCTGACACATTTCCGGTGATGTCAGGGGGTGTGGCATATGCAAATAAGTTATGCTAATGAGTTATGCTAATGAGCTCCTGCACATCTTTTTCTACGAAATTACCCCTGGTTAAGACAAATAGTAAAGAGAAAGTCATTAATACACTGAGCTGTGAATACAGACACTTAATTTGACATACAAAAATTAAAGAGCATCCTCAGTATAAGGGATGAATATGTGTACTACAAAATAACTCTCAGTGTCAAACAGATTAAGTGCAAGAATTTCGAAACACAAAGTAAACAAAAGCAAAACAATCATGCTGCAGAAAAGGGAACCTTCAAAAAGAACATTATCAGAAATACAGGGTTAGGGATGAGAACATGAAACTGGGTAATCAAGACTATTAATATACAAACCCAATATGATCCTAAAATAATTAGCAATATGAGAACATTCTCTATACTTCCCATTTTGAAAAAATGCTGGCCCCGATTAGAGAATTTCTGGAAATAATAAATGAAATAATAATTGAAAGACCAAATGATACACTGTGTTTTACATATATAGGTAAATAGGGAG